TACTATATATATATATATATATACACTATATATGTGAATACATACATATATATATATACAGACACACTATATATGTGAATACATACATATATATATATACAGACACACTATATATGTGAATACATACACATATATATATAACCTTTGTTTCACCCTTGAAAGATGTGGTAATATGTAAATGTTGTGATAAATCTATAATTTTATAATTGATTAAAGATGATAACGAATGTTATTTTTTATGAACAGATATTGAATCTCTTTCATACTTCTCACATAATCAGCTGTGTTATATTTCACGTAATTATCTCTAAGATGAAATTCATGTTAATGTGACAAGTAGTAAGCGACAGATGTGATTAATTACATAACACCTCGTGTCTCTGTGTGTATCTAACTCTAGACGTGATCCTGGGTAGAGTTGTTTATCGGTAAATATGGCAGTCAAAGAGTTGACAATGTCCACTCCGCTTTAGTACGTAACCACACGTCCTGGTATGATCCACTGTGTCGAGTGAGATGGATATGAAGTGGGTTCCAGTGTAGCTCTGTATCATAAGGTTTCTGTTTCCGAGGAAGACAGCGATGGGGAGTTTCACACAATAACACGAAACACCGGAGAGAGGCCTGGCAAGGAATTCATGCAGTCTGAGTTGTTACTCTGTCTGTCAGATCAGTACTTCCATCAGAGAACTGCCACGTATCAGATATCTTCAGCTACCGTGCAGTCTGAGTTGTTACTCTGTCTATCAGATCAGTACTTCCATCAGAGAAGTGCCACAAATCTGTTATCTTCAGCTACCGTGCAGTCTGAGTTGTTACTCTGTCTATCAGATCAGTACTTCCATCAGAGAAGTGCCACGAATCTGTTATCTTCAGCTACCGTGCAGTCTGAGCTGTTACTCTGTCCGTCAGATCAGTACTTCCATCAGAGAACTGCCACAAATCTGTTATCATCAGCTACCGTGTAGTCTGAGCTGTTACTCTGTCAGATCAGTACTTCCATCAGAGAACTGCCACGAATCTGTTATCTTCAGCTACCGTGCAGTCTGAGTTGTTACCCAAGATTATCTTCGTTCATCCACAAGTACAGTGAATTAGGGTTAGGACTAAATCTGAGTGATACATGTGGATCCCTGTTTTTTCTAGTATTATTAATTATATCATTTGTGTTTTTCATTCACAAAGATCAAATGGAAATCATCTTCAAGAAATTTCTGGTGTTTTGACTTTCTTGTCTTTAGGTATGCGAATCCTAGTGATGCTACTACTCGATACTCTACCAATGCTAGGAAACGTGCTACTTCTGTGTTTCTTCGTTTTCTTCATCTTCGGTATAGTAGGAGTCCAACTGTGGGCAGGTCTTCTGAGACAACGTTGTTATCTGGACTTACCGGAAAATGTTCGATTCCCAGGGTAGGTGGACTGTTATCGTAGAAAGTTAGTTTCATGAACAAATTGTAATCTACCCTGATATGTTTAGTTAAGTGGTGTTATAGGAGACATTTATCTTTGTGTGTAAGTTGTAATCTACCCTGATGGGTTTAGTTAAGTGGTGTTATAGGAGACATTTATCTTTGTGTGTAAGTTGTAATCTACCCTGATGGGTTTAGTTAAGTGGTGTTATAGGAGACATTTATCCTTGTGTGTAAGTTGTAATGTACCCTGATGTTAAATGGTGTTATAGGAGACATTTATCTTTGTGTGTAAGTTGTAATCTACCCTGATGTGTTTAGTTAAGTGGTGTTATAGGAGACATTTATCTTTGTGTGTAAGTTGTAATCTACCCTGATGTGTTTAGTTACGTGGTATTACCAGAGAAATTTTACATCACGTGTAACACGAAACTTACACTGATGTGTTAGTTACGTGGTATTACCAGAGACATTTCTCATCACGTGTAACTTGAAACTTACACTGATGTGTTAGTTACGTGGTGTTACCAAAGAAATTTTACATCACGTGTAACTTGAAACTTACACTGATGTGTTAGTTACGTGGTGTTACCAGAGAAATTTTACATCACGTGTAACTTGAAACTTACACTGATGTGTTAGTTACGTGGTATTACCAGAGACATTTCTCATCACGTGTAACACGAAACTTACACTGACGTGTTAGTTACGTGGTATTACCAGAGACATTTCTCATCACGTGTAACACGAAACTTACACTGATGTGTTAGTTACGTGGTATTACCAGAGACATTTCTCATCACGTGTAACTTGAAACTTACACTGATGTGTTAGTTACGTGGTATTACCAGTGACATTTTACATCACGTGTAACACGAAACTTACACTGACGTGTTAGTTACGTGGTATTACCAGAGACATTTCTCATCACGTGTAACACGAAACTTACACTGACATGTTAGTTACCTTGATGGTACTACCATTCTTATATCAATAATTCTTGTAAACTACGTGTCCTTTGTGTTGCTCTGCGTTAAGATCCCACTCCCGTATTTTATTGTACCAGTATAAAATACCATCTCTCTCCGCTGCGGATTCAATATACCCATCAAACTCTTCAGTTATCCCTAATTACTTCTATAGTTACCCAAGGACGATCCATACTCGAAAGAAAATCACATGATGTTTAAGGATGTTGCCAAATGTGGTCCTGTTAGCTTGTGGGTGGGAATATTAACACAGTTTAACATATGGCGCCCGTGGACCCGAGGCGGTGCCAGAAACACTAAATTTGATGCCATATTCGGGTTCAGCGACTTTGAAAACCTACTTTTAGATTCCCATAATGCCTTGGTAGAAGATATCTCATGTAAATAAAGACTTTCCCCCCTGGCCACCTCGAGTCCCCCTGCCAAGTTCGGTCCTGCTAGCTCCAGACTATGGGAGGAGTTAGCTGAAATATATATATATAAAGCTACAAACTGAATTAATATAGGATAGAGAAGGAGTCATGATTAATATAAGAGAGAGAGAGGGGATCATAATTAATATAGTATGGAGATATGGAGAGGGGGATTATATTTAATATAGGATAGAGAGGGAATCATGATTAATATAAGAGAGAGAGAGGGGATCATAATTAATATAGTATGGAGATATGGGGAGGGGGATTATATTTAATATAGGATAGAGAGGGAATCATGATTAATATAAGAGAGAGAGTGGATCATAATTAATATAGTATGGAGATATGGAGAGGGGGATTATAATTAATATAGGATAGAGAGGGAATCATGATTAATATAAGAGAGAGAGGGGATCATAATTAATATAGTATGGAGATATGGAGAGGGGGATTATATTTAATATAGGATAGAGAGGGAATCATGATTAATATAGGATGGAGAGGGGGATTATAATTAGTATAGGATGGAGAGGGGGATTATAATTAGTATAGGATGGA